CTTGGCAGGAGGGAGGGGCCAGGAGCTTCAGCCAGAGACCCAAGAGGAGGAGGATTGCGGTTGCTCTGTGCTAAACCAGTGCACAGAGCAGGTAAGTATGACATGTTAGTTATTTTTTTGTTTTTTAAACTTGCCTTTATTATCACTTTAAGCTTTGATGGGGAAATTTATATTTTCTTTATTATTAGTGGCTCACCAATATCTAAGAATTAATACTATAGGAATGTCAATACGAACTGACCAAATGACCAAGCCCTTTCAGAAATGTCTGCTATATTCCTAAAAAGTTAAAACTGCTATTCAGGGTTTACAATTGGTCAAATACTACCAAATACTCCTGTATATACTACAGCCAAAACTTGAAACAGTTAGTCTCTCAACTGAACGGTGATAAGCATGTGTCTGTCTCTGATCATCTTGCCAAGCCACAATAGAAGTGGGCGGTATTCCTTGGCAAAAGACATCTATATCTCAGTATTCTTGTTACATTTTCTAATATTATTATATTTGTTGTCATTATCTTTATCTGTCATTTCCTATTTAAATGTTATACAGTTTGTTTTACCTACAAGTTTTGTGTGATCTCTCTTCGCACATCTTGAAAAAAACACAAACCATTCGACCAGTCCATCTTGTCGATATAAAACTTACATACCAGTTTATTTTTTCTCCTTTTTTATTTTTATTTTTTTCTTTCCCTGCTGCAGTCCCCCTGGAGCCCCCCCCCTTTTTTTTTGTTGTTATTGTTGTTTGTTTGTTTTCTTCTTTCTCTTCGCTCCTTTCTTTCCTCTTGTCTAGTCTGTCTTCTTCAGGCTATTTGTGCTGATTGTGATTCCTGTTTTGAGCCTGTTTTGGACTCCTTTGAGAGCCCTGCGTGTTAAGTACCTCTCTGTATTCAAAGAGGCTCCTTCTCTTATTCTTCTCGCATTCTTATGCTGATACAGTAACAATTTTTCCTTAGCGTTTATTATGTTATTGGTCTCTAAATGTCTATCATTTCTGCAATTTATTGTGTTTTCTTCCTATACGGCACTTATGTACGCAGTTTATTTTCAGGTTTTCTCATCAGTACATATTCTGCATTATTCATCGAATCCTTTGTATGCTATATTCCTGCTGGTCATTTCATATGTTTTTGACTGATTCTCTGCTGTTTCCTATTCTATAATAAAATTATTTGTAAAAGAAAAAGCCACAAACCATACACTATCATGTAACCGTGATAAAACAAGCTTCTGAAAAACAACAGATTTACTGGCTGGATCACCAGTTGAAAATAAAAGAAAGAAAGCCTAAAATAGAAAACTAATGCAGCTATCACACCTAAGAATTGATAAGCTGCAATATAATAAAGGTTTTCTTTTGGGTTTAATACCACTTTAACCACTTCCCATTCGACGAATGTTTATAAATGTCCTTGGGCTGGAAGGATGATATCTTGGTCAACGCTGCAGCTGCTTTAAGCCCCGGCATTTCTGAACAAAGTAAAAGTAATCTGAGTGGCTAACGAGCCGCTGGATTACTTTTACCAGCGGCGGAAGGGGGTCCAACCCCCTCCCATAGCTGCCTTGACTGGGCTCTTCCGTGCAATAGGAGAGCCCGGCAAGGATGTGATCACCGGCATCCAGCTCTAGGCACACAGTGAAAGGAACGGATATTGTTCCTTCCACTGTGTGACGTCAAAAACAGGAAGCGACTAGGATTTGGTTACTTCTTGTTTTGGTACTTTGTTTACCTTGCCATTACCGGTCAGGGAAGCAGCCAATTCAGACCAATCTGTGTCTGATCGGCTGCATTGGAGGCCAGAGGAGAGATTTAGGGTCTAATAGACCAAAGATCTCTCCACAAAGATGACCTGTCTTGGCCCATGCTATTACATGGAATGTTGTTAATCCCTTATAATAGCAGTAAAGTTGATAAAAAAAAGTTAGTTACAGTGCTAAAAAAATAAATTCAATACAATTATTAATAAAATGTAAAAAAAATTTCAAGTGCCCTCGTGCTCACGTGCAAATGTGAATGTGTATGTAGGTCCTGCACGCATATGTAAACTGCGACTGCACAGCACATGTGAGGTATGGATACGAAAGCCAGAGAGAGAGCAATAATTTTAGCATGTAATTTTAACACCAGACCTCCTGTGTAACTCTAAACTGGTAACCTGTAAAGGCTTTTAAAGCGTTGCCTATCGAGATTTTTAGGTACCGTAATTTGGAGCCATTCCACGGGCGAACACAATGGCATGTTTGGTATCTATTTACTTTGTATAACATCATGTTTTATATCCTATCAAACAGTTGAGTATTATATTGTGTTTTTATGCATTAAAATACTTTAGTGTGTGTATTATTTTATAATTGCATTTGAAAAACCACTGTGCAAATATGGCGTGACATAAAAATATGCAATGCCCACCATTTTTTTTTCTCTAGGGCCTCTGCTAAAAAAATATACAATGTTTGGAGGTTCTAAGTAAATTTCTAGCAAAAAAATGATGTTTTTACATGTAGGATAGAAATGCCAGATTAAGCCCGGTCTGGAAGTGGGTAAACAAATATGGAAATGTATAGTCCTGACTACACTGATTGCATGCTGGTGTTGGGTCATTGACTGAGAAAGTATTCAAACCAGAGGCAACCAGGAAGCCTACACTTTCAGAAGAAGGTCATCAATAGCTCACTAGATATCTCTCTTTATAAACCTTTCCATTAAAGTAGTATGAATAAAGCCCTAACCTATAATCTTTTTCATTGAAACAGTGCGTATTGTAGTATCCATAGAAAGTATATGTTCCTTAGCTTTTATAGGTTACTGAACTTTTAGCTTTTCTTTCTGGGCAATAAAAGCAAATCAAACATTTAGGTTTAATAGCATCTCTTTAGATTAAAATTTCTATACAGTATGGCTCTTATTCCTATATCATTATTTGCTCCAATAACTTGTGTACTTAATGTAAAATGAAAAAAAAATTATATTAAAGTGTCATCATTTCTAGACAATGACATCTCTTCATCTATGTAATGTTTATGTTTAACCACTAGCAGTAGAAATACTACTACAGGGGGACAGGGCTGAGCATATACACACACACACACATATATATTTTTATATACTATATATATATATATACATACACATACGCGAGATTTGCAATCCCGGGTAGGCGCCGCTACTGACAGAGGGATGTCAGTCACCTGGTCCTGGCCGGAGATTCCCCGACGGCTCCCAGTGATCATCGGAGAAAGCTGACAGGGGAGTAAACAACACAGGTCTCTCTCCTGCCAGCAAGGACATGCTGCTTTGTATTGCTCTGCACAGCAGAGAAATACAAAGTAGCATGTTACCCTAGTAAAACACTCACAGCATATAATGTAAAACAGCACACAATGTAAAACAGCACACAATTAACCCTTTGATCACCCCATGTTAACCCCTTCCTGCCCAGTGACATTAGTACAGTGTCAGTGCTTTTTTTTTTAGCACTGATCACTATATTAGTGTCATTGGGATGTCAGTGGCAGTTAGTCAGTTCCCCCCCAGTGTTAGAATGTCCGACACAGTCCCACTATAAGTCGCTGATCACCCACATTATAAAATATATATCGTATAATAAAAATAAAAAATTCCAGTGTATATATATATCGCCATTTGTAGACGCTATAACTTTCACATAAACCAATTAATTTACATGTATTGAGATCTTTTTTTAGCAAAGACATGTAGTACAATACATTTTGGCCTAAATTTATGAAGAAATTTGATTTTTTTTTATTATTTTTACTGAATATGTTTTAAAGCAAAAAATCAAAAATATATTTTTTTCAAAATTTTCGGTCTTTTTTTTAAAAGCAGAGGTGATCAAATACCACCAAAAGAAAGCTCTATTTGTGGGAAAAAAGGACATAAATTTCATTTGAGTGCAGCATTGCATGACCGCGCAATTGTCAGTCAACCTCTTCACGCTGGCTGCACGCAAATGTGCAGCCTCCCGGCATCTGGGCCTAGACGCCGAGCAGCCACACATTTGCGTGCAATTAAGAAAAAATATGTGCTGAGAGTGCGCGCCCTGCGTGTTCCCAGCACACATGTCCAGTACTCACGGAAAGGTCCCGATCTCCTCTTTCGATCGGGACCTTTCCCGATCATGTGACCACCGTGACAGCGAATCATGGCGGTCACATGACCCTAAAATCCCACCCCGCCTCTCGGCTTCTGAAACCCTTAAAGGGCCGGAAGGCTCCGGCGCCAAGGGGTTAAAATAATGCAGAGCCATATCCCAAAAAATGGCCTGGTCAGGAAGCGGGGTAAATCCTCTGGAGGGCAAGTGGTTAATAAGTGTATGTTGTTTTGGTTCTTAACTATGTAGCTGATTGGTGTCGTCGTAAAATTACTTTTGTTATTGCTCCATGCACATCTTTATTTCTAAAGCTATATATGATTGGGTTTAGCATAGGAGTTATAATCCCATACAGAACTGGAACAACCCTGTCCTGATCAAGAGAATAAGTAGATGTAGGACGTATATATGTGAAGACAATTGTTCCAAAATAAAGTGTCACAACTGCCAAATGAGAGGCACAAGTTGAAAATGCTTTAAGTCTTCCCGAAGCTGTCTGAATTTTTAAAATTGCTCTAACAATAAGAATATATGACATAATAGTTAACAAAAATGACCCCAAGATTACAGACCCTCCAGCAGTGTACACCACAATTTCATTAATGGATGTATCAGCACAAGACAAGGCCAGGAGTGGTGGTATATCACAGAAGAAGTGGTTTATAGCTCTAGATTTGCAGAATGGCAACCGGAATGTGAAGATAGTATGGGCAAGAGAATTTACTAGACCAATTATCCAACATGTTGTAGCCATGATCATACATGTTTTCAAGCTCATTACTTTAGAGTAAAGTAACGGCATGCATATAGCCACATAGCGATCACCTGCCATAGCAGCTAGCAAAATGCATTCAACGCCTCCAAATGATATAAAAGAATAAAGCTGGGCCACACAGCCAAAAAAGGAAATTTGTTTTGTGTCCATTAAAAAATCTGACAACAGCTTTGGGACTGTGGAGGTGGTATAGCATATATCTACAACAGAGAGATTCCTTAGAAAGAAGTACATTGGGGTGTGAAGAGTTGTGGATAGTGTGATTGTGATGACCATCAGAGAATTTCCTAGACATGTGATGATATAGACTAGCATGAAGAACACAAACAGTATAATCTGACTCTTAGCATTATCAGTCAATCCTAGCAATGTAAATTCGTTAAACCATGTTGTCTTGTTTGCCATGTATCTGTGCACCACTTCCTGAAACGAAAAGAAACATTAATTTTTTTGAGAAAAGGAATACATTTTTATTTTATTGTTCTTCCATATTGTAAAGGAACACACTCTATTACCATTACAATCACACCTATGCAATGAAGGAAATCTACAAAAAAAATCATTACTAATAGTAACATGTTATAGTGATTGGGCTTGTATGGCAGTTTACGGCTTATAACCAATCTAGGTTATTGTGCTTTACATATATTTGTTTCCACCATTATTAGCAAAATTGTTCATGTTTTTATGTTGTCAGATTTATGTAATAAAATCAGTCATTTCTACTAAGTAAAACTCATTACATTTAATTTCCTTATAGCCAGTGGTGAATTTAGTTTTTGTGCTGCCCTAGGCAACAAAAAAATTGGCGCCCCCCCCCCTCCCCACAGAGCCTGACATTGACCAAGAACACCCCTGCCCTCCACTACCATTGCCCCCCATACACCAGCCACCATCCCCCATGGCGAGAGAGAGAAAGACAGACACTCACTTTCACAGCTCTGGACATCCCCAGGAACAAGAATCGCACTGTGCATACACCGTCATAATGAAACCCACAACATCTCTCGGAACCCACCAGGTTCCCATGTCGCGTGTGTCCCTTCTTCCGTCCCTTCTTCCAAGGGGCAGTGCTGCCCCCCCCCCCTGAAAAATGCCCCCTAGGCAAATGCCTTGTTTGCCTTGTGGTAAATACACCCCTGCTTATAGCATAACATATTAATCAGTTTACACGACCTTTGGATTCTTGCCAGTTAGGCTGTTGCATGTATTTCCATGTGACATGAGAAGTACTACAGTTCTGTACAGCTCACGTTTTTATAAAGCTGTCAGCCCTCACCTAGGGAGTTGGTAAACCCTAATGAATAGTAAAGTATTATGATGATATTACTGCTGTATTTATTTACTCAAAGTAATTACTATTATTTGCAGTCAACAATGAAATAAATAACCATTAACGTTTACAAAGAATATTTTGGTTCAGTTATTATTGAACCAAATACACAAATTCTTTGCTAATTTTTGTTTTTCAGTTTGATTGGTAGTGTGGGTGTTTATTTGTTTAAATATTAAACATTTAATTTATAATATGTTCAAAGTAATGCATGTGATTAGTGATGAACAAATCTGCCAAAATTTGATTTTCCCGAAACTGGATCAAAAATTTGCTGAAAGACAACTATCAAGGCAAATTGAACTGAAGTCATCAGTGGCTATATTTTGATGAACAATTCTATCCCTTTGGGAAGTGCTATGCAAGCTACAGCCAAACAATTAGCAAAATTGCAAAAAAAGTACAGTGGGGTAAGAAGCCTTTTCATTTGGCTTTGAGAGAGCATGGAAAATGCCCAAAGGTCTTTTGGATGACTTAAAGATGTTCATAATGCTATGGAACCAGAATAGTTTTGAGAAACAGCCTCAGTGACAGCCTACTTTGATTGTCATTTTTTTTTTTTATCAATTATCTTGGCTTACAGACAATGCCCCATCTACTTTGGTCTGATTTGTTTTGGTAAAGAAAAGAAAAAATATATATTTAGATATAGATGTATAGATATATTTTTTTTTCCAGACCCTCTGACTCACCTGACTGGGTGAAAGTTACTGCACACTCTTATAGGAACACACCTGTGGATACCTTTGCCTCAATTGTGTGAATTAGCATAAGGAAATTGACACAAGACCTTTTTGTGGAAAGTGAGCTCAATTAATTGACATGGGTTAGAGTAAATGTTGGTTTGAGCATAAATGAGCATACAAAAGGTAGGTTCAGACACAGTTCTGTAACAAATCGATTTTTGGAGATTCAGATGTATACGAATCTTGGAATGGACATAGTAATAAATGTCAGCTAATGCAAAAAAAGTTATAACGAAATTTACTAATGCATTTGTTTCAATGTGAACAAAGTGACAGTAATGATACTTGAACAACAATGAGTAAATTGGTACCATAAAGATTATAAATACATGAAGAATACTGTATATGAATACATGTGAAAAATGCCATAATAAAGTGCACAGTCCCAATGAATCTGTGTATCTTCAAAAGAAGCTGTGGAACATCCAATGACCACAAAAAACACAGCAAATCCTCTACCAGCTAGCGTGCGCACTCACCTCCAGGTTGCGACCCGCAAGGGGTCATAAGGCTAAAAATGCACTCATCCGATGATACTCCTTTGGTAATGATCAGGGCAATCCTCTATAGTGGTGATGGTAGACACTCATCAACATACCAGCAGTAAAACTCAGGAGTCCCTATACGGATATGGACAAAACTCTCTCCTCTCCAATGGCCCACACCTCTGCATTTCTATGACTGGATCCAAAAAAAACAACTTCCTGGCATGCAGGTATTTGCAACTTACTCCCCCTGCAGAGCCACGTGTCTCCTTCTGCTGCACTTTGAAAAGAATATAGTGACTGTGTTTGATGTTCCTCCGGTCAGATCTTCAAGATATCAACTCCCTGCCTGCCTCCAGCACCGTACCTGTGGACTGGAGGTAGGTGAGAGACCTTGCAGTGTGGTGAACACATATTGAATGCTGAGCAGCCAAATCAGGCTCCGGTATCCGCTCCATTAAAAGATAATGTCACCTGAGCACAAGCTGACATGACAGACGTGGACCTTCACTCCCTCTCAAGGTCCACATCTGTTGTGCAGGATTGTGCTCAGGTGAACTTATCCTTTAACGAAGCAGATACCGGAGACTTTCATTAACCTCCCTGGCGGTATTCCCGAGTGTAGCTCAGGGTAAAGTTGCAGTACCACAAGCGGTAACCCCGAAGCTACACTCGGGAATACCATGCAGCGCTGCTACGGGATCCCTCAATCACTTACCTTGTCCTGCGCTCCCGCGATGTCCCTCCTGCAGTGTCCCCTGTAATGTCCTCCGGCGGATGCCGGCATCTGTCATCTGGGTTCCGTTCCCTGCGACGACGGGACGTACGGGGACAGAACTGGTGGGAAATTTGAAAGTTGTAAAAGTGACATTCACTAAATTCACTAAAATCACATAGTATAACATTACTGTATCAAACCATTTCACATACATTTTGTCCCTAGTGCTTTGTCCTGTGCCCTGCCTGCATTTTTACTGTTCTTTCTGCCTGGAAACTGAGAAATGTCCATGGCGTCCAAAAAGTGTCCCTTTTTGTCAAAAGCGGTTTTAGACCAGCTAGAGAACAGCGATAGTAAATTAGAACTACTTGCAGAATTGAGTGATAATGATTCGTGGGGAAATTCGTCATCAGACACTGAAAACGATTTTGCGACTTTGCTCAGTGATGTGCGAACTTGGCGCTATATTTCTAATTTCAGTGTTTTTGGTTTGATTATATTATTTAATTAATTGTATTATTATTATATTATTATTTTTTATGATTTTTTATTAAATTTTAATTTATGATTTCGTGTTTCAAATTTTATGTTTACTAGACTCTTGTTCGGACAGATTTCAGTGAGTTATTCCTAAAAATTAAAGGCCTACAATAAAAAAAATACACTTGTCCATGCAAAAAAAAGTATCGCTTTGAGCACAGAAATATGGATATATTCAGACTGCTAGGGAAGCTACATAGCCTCAAGCTCCCAGCTGGCATGACAGACGTGTACCTTCACTCCCTCTCAAGGTCCACGTCTGTCTTGCTGGCTTGTGCTCTGATGAACTTATCCTTTAACGGAGCAGATACTGGAGACTTTCAATAAGTAGCCTCAAGCTCGCTGATCCATCTTGCTTCACGTTGAAATACCAGTTTATCAAAGTCCCCCCCCCCCCCGGTGAATTCTGGGGAACAACTTCCAAGACCCAGCACTGGAGAAATCTAGGATCGCTATTATGTTTTAAACAGACATGTCTACAAAAGTAACATAAAATAGAGTTCTTTACCACTAAACTGGATTCAACACGCTATAAATTATCAAGGTCAAAAAAGAGTGCATATAAGCAATCACTGCAATGTGAGTGCACTCTAGAAGGATGGCTATGATGGTGCAATGTCCCCTGAGAGGCACCTCATAGCATAGGCAATAAGTAAAGCTCTCTGTGTAGCATATGGGGTAGTCTTTACTACTAACTCTTCAGCTGGCTAGTGTTGGGGACCAATTGTACCACTGGTGCATATGAGACTAGTCTCAGTCAAACCTACAGGCAGCAATAAGACTATTAGATGGCTGTATGATCAATTCCTAAAGGGCTCAGTCACTCTTGCAGAAGATAATAAATCCACATAGCAGCAGCACACCTAAACTTCGGATCCTGCTTAAGCCACCGTTATGCAGCAATAAGGGTGCATACTGGACAAGGATGTGCACTCTCTGGGCTCCCTTATGGCAAGAGCATGCAGTTTTCTGTACAGGCTAAGAATATGCAGCTCTTTTCCCTCCTCCTGGCACTCTCTCTCTGGCAAATGCAGTTCAAAGGTTCTCGATTACAGTAGAATCTCTCTCCTCTGGACTACAGTTCCCACAGTGCAGTAGTGCCTGACTCTGTCTATTAAACACTTGCTGCTCAGCAACTCCCCCCTCTTGCTGATATAGTTATTAACCAGTTCAGCACCGCAGGGCAGCAGCTACAGAGAGCAGTTGCAGCCAGTGTTTCTCTCACCTCCATTCTTAGACAAGCACCTGGCTACACATTCCCCCTGCCAGAGAATCTTTGGTCCCAAAAGGAGGGGCCAAGTCCTTTGACATATATTGTTAAAAACTTTAGATTAATTTAAATGAACAGCGAAAAGCAACACAAAACCAAATGATTCACATTAGCAGATTCTCCCACCATTTGTCAAAAGGGATGAGGTTGTCTTGTCCACCAGCCACAGATATTGGATGGCCCACTTAGATGTGCCAGGGGGTGAGCTTGAGTCACTCTCCACATAATCAGTAGTAGAAAAGTGTTGACATTTCGTGAGCCTTTTGGGTGGTGACAATGGTTTCTTCATAGCTTTCGCCTAAGGTATTGTATG